AAAAGGGGGCTTTTTCCCCCGGGGGGGGGGGAGTCATCTCTTTCCCTCACCAGTTTTCACTATTAGCAATGGTTATCTCTTAATTTGCCCTTCCCAGGGCCAATGCAGAGTTGTTCCAGTCTCATATTCCAGATGATTTTAGCAAATCATCCCAGGGTTGCTGAGGAAGGCGGTGAAATTGCATTCTTCCCCCACCTCCATCCCTGTCCAAAAGTAGGCAGAGATGGAGACCCCTGGCTCTAGGAACAAGTAAGTAGAGCTTGAAACTTTTAGAAACAAGTGAATGTGGGCTAGAGAAAGTGGTGTCTGATTTTGAAGGCTTGTTGGTTTTGGAAGAGAGTGGCAGAAGTTAATGGATATGACAAGACTGCTATAGGAATTTAAATTATTTCAGTGAGGGCTGCTGGCTGAGGACCCCGTGGCTTACGTGGTCAAAGATATTCCATGAAACTGGTACATGTAATGCTAATGTAGGATTGTTAAGGGGTGTGTTACCTGAGCCTGGTCATGCATCCTTGGGCAACCAGCAAAGGTTCTCTGCTGAAGGAATGTTCTTTTTCTGTTTATTCCCCCCCCTCTCCCCGGGGAAGCAAAGGAGCAGAATTATCTTGGAGGCAACCAGCAGAGATCCTGTAAAAGGTGTATGCGTGAGTCTTCAGCCTAGTGGGAAGTTCTTTAGAATGCAGGTTTTTAATGCACTCGGTGTGGGGCAGTAATGATTCTTTGGGGGCAAAAAGGGAAGATGGTATTTTGCTAAGCTTTGGCAGATTCTGGCAGGTTGTGTTTAGAAATTCAGTAGCGTTCATGCGGAGATGGTGTGAGATCACTGGCACCCTGGCGTCCTTCCAATAGGAACTCATTCCCTGTAAATTTAGGGATCCCAGTTGCCTGTGCGGTGTGGGCAAAAGTGCATTTGGAAATAAAGGGTAGGAAGCAGAAGTGGGCCTTCGGAATCCCATCCTGCCCTCATAAGCCAAGTACGTTTTGCGTGCCCCCTTTCCCTCCCCTCCTTCCTCCTGAATCTGTGAAATGGACTGCAAATTGGAAGCCACGCTGAGCTTTCAGCATTTAGCACTGGATTTACAAAATGTCAGTTCTAATCCACATTTATACACATACACGCGCCCCTGCGACGTGCCCATCTGTCCATCCGTTGCTGGAGGAATAAGAGAATACGGTTGGGCTTTGATTTTTTACCTTCTTGAATGTCTTCTTTTTTTAAAAACTTCCACCTCTGTCTTGAGAATTTCAGTCGACCAGAAAGTGGGAGGGAATCAGAAACTTGGCCACGTCTGGAGGTTTTCTGGTGTTGGATCATTCCAGATTGGATTTTCCCCAAAGCCCTTCTGTGCTGCTGACAGTGAAGGCTGATTTCTTTACTGTTCTGGGAAAACCACGGGCCCTTCCCCAGTTAGTGATGAAGGTTCCTCCCTTAAGCATCCCCACATTGGCTGGGTTGATTGAGGAATGAACCTACAAGAACCGATTTTTCCAGGCCTTCATCCCCCAAGATGGCCATCGTGTCTCTCCTGGTTGCCTTTCCTCCCCATGCTGTGTTTCCGTGCATGGGAAATGCAAAATATGGGTGCCCTGGGCACGTTTTTGCCCTGAGCCCATTTGGATCTGCTGACAGAGGATTGCTCTCTTGGAGGCTTCCATAATCTCCAATGATTGGAATTCAACGTCTAGGAAAACGTGGTGCCAATTGGGAAAGGGAGCCCTTTTTGAACTCATGAATATTATCTTCAGCAGATTCAGAAATAGGAAGATTCACGGGGAAACAGCCCATGATCCAAACACCTCAACGCTGCCCGCCTCATCCCATCTTGCTGCTGTAACATTCCAGTTTCAATGTGCCTGTTTTTTTTAATATTTGTAGTAATTCCTCTTTTTGGAGAGTGAGAAAGAGAGAGAGAAAATTGCTCACTCAGATCCTACCATTCTGTCCTCTTTTAATGCCTTACTGTTGGGAACCAAAGCGTCTTTTTCCTCTTGTCTCTCTCTCTCTCAATGGAGATAGTATATTGCAAATCTTATACCAAATGTTTAAGAGAATGTGCTTATATATTAATAAAAAAATTCAGCTTTATTTAATCCTGGTCCAGCCCATCTCCTCTTTTACACAACATTTGTCTGAAAGACTAGTTTTGTTCTGTGTTTGTCTCTCCAACTGGTGGTTATAAAGTTGAGATTCCTCCTTTCAAGGTTAGTTCACAAAAATGCATTGCCTAATTTCTGGGCAGGACAGTTCCTCATTCATTTTTCAATATAAACTGTTTGAATTTTGAAAAGTGGGAGATCGAGGCCTATTTTCAAACTTGAGGGGGAGAATGCTGTTCTGGTTGTGTTAACCAATTTTCCTTTATCACATTTGCGTGATGTTGCCAGAGAGGGGAATTAAACTGCACAGAAAAAAGTTGTAGCATGATTACACACACACACACACACACACGAAGACATGATAACTGGACCACCCACTAATTTAAAGCTATAAGCCGACTGGATGAGAAAGTATTAATAAATAATTAGTAATGCATTTATTGGACTTTTTTTTAGAAAATAACATTTCATAATTTTTATTTGAAGTAAGTTTTTAACATAGATTTCACGGGGTGCTAGGGATGTGCAAAATTCCATTCCAAGGGACTCTGCATTTATCTTCCGGATCATGCAATTCTGGGGATGGCCTAACAGTTTTTTGGATGTGATTTTTCAGCCCCCTTCCTCCAAGGGAATCATGGTCTAGAGGCAAAATGAAGTATTCTGGAGTTCCTTGGACTGCTCCATTCTCAGAAAGGAATGTTCAACACATTTACAATGGGTACCAGCGAATTAAACACACAGAATTTGTAAAAGCAATGACCTCTGTTTCCTTCACAGCATTTTTGCAGGTAAATCCGAGAAGTAACTCATTTGAAGCTATCCAAGCTCCTGGGAAATTAGGATGTTAGACCTGTGCCTGCCAGGGGTTGGATTCCAACCAATTAAGCTGGTTGTCTCTGAATATCTCCTGTTCTAAATGGTCAGTTCATGCAACTTCCATCCAGACCCCATTTATCCTGATTTTAGAGATAGGTATTCCAAAGACTTAGGGATAAATTCCTGGAGAGGCCTCAGGTCTATCCAATTCCAGCCGCATTACGATACCCTATAATGTCATCCCAGCAGTGAGGCTATTACATTAGCCCATATTGATACTGTCCACTTTAACTCCCATAATCCCTTTTGGACATGCAAGTCAGGAATGGAGGTTAGCAAACTGCAACTCCATGACTGACCATGCCAAGAATTGGTCTTTTTTCTCCCCGTCCCCTAAATAATTCTTTAAAGACAGCCAAATAGTGATCGCAGCTGTTCTTTCTGGCCCTGAGTTCCTTAGGTTAATGACGCAGCATGTGAAAAAGGCCCTTTGGTAAATTATGAATCTTACTGCCCATTGCTGTCATGGCTTTTGGCCTCATGAAAGCATCTGGGAGAACAAAACTCAAAGGGCAGGATAAATATTTGGAATAGAAACAAACCGGGGTTTGATACGGCTATCCGCTATTAAAGTGCTCCAGATAGCGGCGCTGGTGAAGAACTCTTCCAACTGCGCCTTGAAAGCTTGCAAAGCCTACTGTATTGTACTCCCAGTAGATAATACATGTAGGATATTTACTCCATCACTCCCTATATCTGCCCCTCCTCCCTCAGTTTCTACACTGCAAGGTCTCTGCCAGCCACTCTGCAATTTATTTTCCAAGCAAGTTAGAATTACGTTGAGATTTAAGAGGGAGGAAAGAGTGGCCAAAGGTGAACTGGACAGAGGTCCCCCATCCCCAACACATTCTCTAGGGCTTGCAGGCAGCCTCGCCCACAATCCTACCGAGCACATTAGCCCTCAATGGAGCAGATGGCACTCTCCTTGAAATTAATGTTCTGGGCACGAGAAAGTCAGTTTTAAGGCACTTAGAAAACTACTTGAAAGTGGAAGTAACATTACTATTTTTGATGATTAGAAGTGGCAACTACCCTATAGCCAGAGACTAGCGCTAAAATGAGGCCGGGAGAACCTCAGATCTCTCATGGAGATGACTCGTTCCGATCTAATCCATTCCTGTTGCAAAATCCACTTCATCTGCAGACTTGAGCTTTCTCCAGAAGGAGCTACCGTGCTGCTATCTGAGGCACAGTAGAGGATACGCCACATAGTAACCGATGGCTGACCCAGCAATCACTCCCAGGAAAATCCACGTGTTGTAAGACATGACAGCCAGCATCACCAGGTAACCCAAAAACACCTGGATCATGTGGAGCAGGGTCTCAGCGAGGTGCCACGAAAGCCGCCTTTTGAAAAAAAAGTGTCTTCAGAGAGTGGTCAAATAGATTAAAGAGAAGTTCTACCCTCTTTAGCTTTCCTTGACCCTCTACTCCATTCCTCCTAAATTCAAATTTAAAAATGAGGGTATTTAACTTAATGAGGTCCCTTGTTGAGGGTTTCTGCCAACCAGCCCCTCTTACGTGGTTTTCCTCCCAGCTGTTGTCAACGATCTGCCCCAGCTGAATTAGTCTAAACTTGGTTGTCCTCCTTGCAAACCTTGAAGCCACTCCAACAGCCGTCCTTGCACACGGGTCATTTCTTTGGGCTACAGAAGCAGTAACGCTCAAGCAAATTTAGCACTGCTCCCTCCACCTTCCTCTCATCTGCATTTCTGGTTATGCGTCTTCATCAAAAGAGCTACTTGACCCCCACCCCCCCACACCTTAAATGTCGTCCCAGAGTTTTCACGAGAGGTACTTTCACAGGGTCCTGATTTTCAGTCAACAGCACTCCATGCAAACAATCTCAACTGGGCCAATAGTTACATCAACACCATAATCTCTTTCTTGGCAGCATTCGCTTTATTAACACAAAGGTGCTTTGATAACCAACGGCTGGAAAAAAAAGGAAGAAGCAAAAAAGCTGTTGGGTGTGGCAGTGGTCCAGCTCGCGCACACTGCACACAACTTGGAACACAGGAGTGGGACCTGCTGTAGATGCCCACTTGGGGTTAACCCAATGCAAATAATGGATTTAAAAAGGCCAGGACTGAAGGGCCATTGTTTCCAATAGGTCTTTTCTAAATAGAGTCTCAGCAAGCCACAATACTTCGTTAATCTTGTTTGCTGCTAGTTGACGACCGCAATAAAGTGATTGTATTGTATTGATCTTGTAAAAAATATAAGCAGGAGAGCTTGTTTAATGGATGAGCGACCTTCAGGAAATCTGAGAGCTAAACTAAAAGTTGGAAAAGCACCCTGAAAGGGGACAACGGGAAACCATTTCCCTGCTCTTGCTAAAAAAAAAACCCTACATCGACCTGTCTGTATATAATCAGGAATCAAACTTCAACTTGAGTAAGATTTTACATGTATCTTTTATATGATTCTTATTTGGCCTGAATGGGTTTTCCTTTCAGATGGAGGAATTTTGACTCAGCCAGACAACCTACAGCAGGAGAATTTTTAATTATTCCCCTTTCAAAAAATGTACGATAAAATCGGGCAGCTCGCTGAAAAAGTTTCACTTTTGAGGATGTGCATCATGATATCAGACTCGAAGGCTGTGCAAAGCCTTCCAAAACCATGTTTTGCAATGGGGGTTAGCACAAACACAGCACGCCTCTTTGCAACCTTAAAACAAGGGTGTCCTTTGTCACACTGGCGTTGCTGCTTCAAAAATTATTGTGTGCGTGCTGTAATTGGAAGAGGGGTGGAAATAACTAAAAATTCTCCTGCTGTAGGTTGTCTGGCTGAGTCAAAATTCCTCCATCTGAAAGGAAAACCCACACAGCACGCCTCTTTGCAACCTTAAAACAAGGGTGTCCTTTGTCACACTGGCGTTGCTGCTTCAAAAATTATTGTGTGCGTGCTGTAATTGGAAGAGGGGTGGAAATAACACACACCACATGCACACGTGCGCACACACACACACAAAGAGTATTTTTCTTACTTCTTTAGAGAACTGGTGGTTGGCCCCACACTTGAGTTCACAGAGGTCCCCTCGGGTTCTCCCAAGTTTTCCCGACTGATGCTAGGGGCAACAGCTGTCTTTGCCTGTTGAATCAATTTTACCTTGCCAACCTTGATGCCTTCATATAACACCGTGAGTATCATAATCACGAACACCGAGAGCACCATTCCTGTTAAAAACACAGCAGAAACACTGACATGGGCCATTGGGAGGGAGAGAGGGAAGAATTATCCACGTTGAATTCTGCAGGAGTTCTCTTCCTATACAGCTAAGGTTTGGGTCTTGGCAAACATCCTTTTTTCACAAGGCACTTAGTGAATGATCTGCCACACCTCGCAGAAAGCAAGCCAAGATTTCAATACTCTTCTTGAGGTGGTATCTAAGAAACACACAAAGGAATTATGCAAGTGCTCCCACACACAGTGGTCTGATCTGCATAATCCACTTGGAAAACGGGAGCAGTTCAGTTCAGATATTTGTTCTGCATTGGCTGATTCGATTTAAACATGTGGATGCTGACCCCTAATAGGTACACACTGGGGCTGGAATTGATCGGAGTTGTTTCAGAGGGAGTAGATTCATGCTGACGCTTCAAATCAAATTGCGGCTTTGATGAAAACCAGAATTGATTCTGGGATTCAACTGAATCGCCTCTGAATTGCTTCATCAAATATAGGCATAGTCCTATTATTCATCCATTGAATTCTTCCTTCCTTCCTTCCTTCCTTCCTTCCTTCCTTCCTTCCTTCCTTCCTTCCTTCCCAACTTATAAATAATGTAACTATGTTTAGAGCAATGTTTCTTAATCCTGAGCAACTCCTAGAATTCCCGGCAATAGCATGACTCATCAGGGAATTTGGGGAACTGAAGCCTACCTGCTTAGAAGTTTCCCAAGGCTTGGAAACACTGATTGACAGTATCAAATTTGAGGTTCCCTTACAGTACAAGCCGGGGCTGTTCCTATAAGTTGCTTTTGGGACCAGCTGGCAAAATCTAGGACAATCTTTTCAGCTCGGTCTTCCTCCAGGTGTGTGGACGCCAACTCCCAGATTTCCCCAGTGAGTACTGCTATTGCAGAGACGTCTGGGCGTTGAAGTCTGCACGTTGTGGAGGTATGCAGATTGGGGGAAACGGATCTCGGTTCTGCCCCTTGTTTTCCACAGGAAAAGAGTGAGGATAACGAAAGCAGAGGGCCAAAGAAAAGAGACAGGAGGAGAATAGAAAATGGACTTTGGGCAAGATGTGTATAGACCTCCACACATTACCCTTAAGCCATTAGGATTCCCAGGGAAGATCGGTACTGAAACTCGGTGGATTGTCCCTCAGAGATAAAGCAGGCACACCTCATCTGAAACAGAAGCGCCTGCAGCCAAATGGGCTCTAATCAACTTTACACGTTGTTAAGGTGGGGGGGGGGGGACTTATTCCCTCCCCCGCTTTAGACAAAAACACAGAGGCACTGCTAGGTGCCCTTGGAGACAGCTTGCAAGTTGCAAAGAGACCTGCCCTGAACGAGCCACATGTAGCAAAGGTGGGACGGCCCCAGCCAGCCAGCACAGGTACTGGCAGCTGTAGTTCAGCAAAATCTCGTGGGCTGCGTGCTTTCCACTTTGGCAGGCCCATCTGCGTGCACTAAAGCTGGAGCTGTGGGCTTGACAAACAGCCACCTCCAGCTTTTGTTTGTTTGGGAGCAAAGAATTGGGATTCTTCCCAGGGACTGAATAGCTGCTCTTTAGCTCGCTGGATGTGCTCCCTTGCTTCTCTTCTGAGTCCTGAGAAAAAACAAAGCTGCTTTTTCACCCCCTCCTGCTGAAAAGTGCTGCCTTGCCAGGCCAGGCTTCAGTAGTAAAACTGTTTGCTGTCTCAGTTTACCTGGATGCCGTAAGTAAAAGCCTGTGGGTACACCTCGGTGGTTGACCAACCAGGCTTCACCAGATCAGATCTTGCCAAAGCCAACAAGCACTGAGAGAGATCGCTGTATTCCAAGGGTGCCCGGTGGAGCCATCCAATTGACCAATTCCTGCCCTCTTTGTTTTGGAACTGGTCTGTCAGCCTTCCCAGGTAGACCAGACAGGAAACGCAACCAGACGAGCTAATTCTACTTTATCGTAAGGCTACATGATCAGAATCTTGCAAGGCTGAAAGTACGTTTCTCCCCCCACCCCCATCCCCTTTACAACCCAAGAAACTAGGGAGGATCTCTTCTGAGTTTCTTTCTCTGCCCGTTATGCAGCTGTGGGCTATGTCCTCTCTTATCTGATCATTCCCTAGGCAGCATCTCTTCCACCCACCCACCGTCTCCCAAGGTCATTCCCACATACCATTACATCATCAGATTTGGGTATGCTGCAAATCTACCTTTTTTCAATTGCTAACCATACAAACCTCGACCAGTGAGAAGCAGAGGGAGGTCTTCCAAGCCTACCCCCTGCAACATTCGAAGAGTCCTGAACAGAAACTGGCTGATCAACTAGACCAGAGAGCCATAAGATCAGGATTTTGGAAACACACAGAGCTGGGCACAATGTCTTCCCAAGGGACGCTTATTCAAATCCTGGAGATTGCATGATATGTGGGCTTCAAAACCACTTATCTACTACTTTGAGTTGGCTTTGTGTACTAATGATGAACATGTGATTGCCAAGGTGTATAAACTTTAGCTGAAAATGAATACGTTGAAGATGTTTAAGTGGACAAAAAAAATTGGAGACAACATAAAGCTCGGCCAGTGGGAGAATATGTGGAGTAAAGGATTGAAATTTACACTTAACTATAATTAGAAAGGGATTTTTTTTAAGATGATGTTTCATTGGTACTTAACAGCAGATAAATTATCTAAGATGTATAAAGGAGTGTCAAATGTATGTTGGAAATTATAATCAATGTGAAGGTACTTTTTATTACCTTTAGTGGACTTGTAAGAAGGCTAAGAAATATTGTGATATTTGATTCAGAGAATCTTAAAAATGGATGTACAGTGGATACCAGAGGTTTTTCTTTTAGGTATGGTGGATAAACAGATTGAACTATATATGGCTAAAGGCACGCTCATACAAACAATGCAGCCTCCTCTAGTGTAAGTGCCCTTCAACTTGCTTGGATTAAAACTGAAAGGGCTGATTGCAGGGAAGGGGTAGATCCATCTCTCTGAGCTCTGATTGGCTCACCTGATTAGGGGTGGAGCTAAGTGCCCTATATAAGAGCTTCAGAGAGCCTGCCCTGCAGTTGGTTGGAGGAGTTTCTTCTTAGCTCTTCTATGCAGCTGCTGCTATTTCAAGGCCAACCTCCCATCATGGCCAAGCATGAGCTGCAATCCACAAGGTAAAAAACAGCAAATAGAGCAAGTAACATTCTGTGTCTACTTCCAGCAATCTCCCAAGGGCCAAATGTGAGTCTCATAAGCTTTCCCCATTTTCCAGAACTGGGTTCATACAACTCCTTGAACCAAGATGGAGCTAGCTACTTGGGGGTTAATTTGTTAAACCATGGGTCAGTGGGGATGTATGAACACAGCCTAGGTGGTGGTAGAGTAGTACAGAACTCCCTTGTTTGCAAAGGCCTTCATGTTAATTGAAGGCACTATCAGTGTAGGAATTGGAGGTGGGGGTCTAGAATCTAAGCCATTGCAATGGGCAGGTTTTCTCCCAATTGCAATGGGATCAGCTGGGCACATTTTGACGGGAAGAAAATCATTCCCATTACCTTCCAAATGGAGGGCTTTATAGGAACATGGGGATATTGTGGAACCTTTAATATGGCCTTCTCAACCAAATGGGTGTTCTCCAAATATGTTGAACTTATTTTCTCATGCTCCCCAGCTATTATGGTCAATGTTTGACTCCAGCAGGGTCACCAAGTTAGTAAAGGTTGATCTAAAACTGGCTGGGTTTACCCACTGCCCAAGCTGTAGTATTTTTTGCAGGTCTTTCTGTGTTGTGTGAACCTAGCTGCTGTGTTTTGCAAGTCATGGCTTATGGCTTACTCTGTGGTGGAAACCTAGCCCATTGTGGCTTATTTGTTAAACTATGGTTAAGCAAAACCTTGCAATGAAAACATGGCTGTTCTTTCTCCACTGCATGGTTATTTTTTTTTTGCAAGGTTTAGAATCTTAGAATTGAGAGCCAGTTTGGTCTAGTGGTGAAGGCTCCAGACTAGAAACTAGGAGATGGTGAATTCTAATCCTACCCTGAGGCATGAAAGCTGGCTGGGTGACATTGGGCCAGTCCCTCTCTCTCAGCCTAATGCACCTCTCAGGGTTGTTGTTGAGGGGAAAATAGGAGGAGCCTATTTTGTTTACTGCCTTGAGTTATGTATAAAAATAATAAAGGTGGGATAAAAAAAATCTAAAAAAAAAAATCTCCAAAGAACTGGGAATTACCCCAAAACTGTTTGAATTATGCCTAAAGCAGTCTTTATGGATCTTTTAGCTAGTGTGGCTCTTTAAAGTTCACTTGTGGTTCTGGAAAAAACACTGTGAAGTCAAGTGTTTTCAAGGAAGTCTGAGATGCCATGTCAATAAGGCAATCTTTCATAACTGCCCTCTCCATTGCTAAAGCTAAGATTTCCTATAATCTCTGGCCTCAGAGATCTTCCTCCTTTGGCTGAGCAACTTCTGTTTTCCTTAGATAAGATTGTTTGCTTACCTCCCACGCTGTGGACGTCCCAGAAGTCAAACAGGAGGATCACTTTATCTGAGAAAAAGAAATGCATCTGGAGGAGATTTGGGGAGGTGGAGACAAAAGGGAACAAAATTTAAGGCTTTGTTTGGCTAGATCAGATGTCCACTAGAGGATAGCAAAGAGATTCAGAAAACACTCTCTGATGCCATCTAGTGGCCCTCCACCTTGTTTCAGCCTGGATCTGATAGCCTGGAGTCCTTGGGGTTCTCTGAGCTTGGCTGTTTTCTTGCAGACATTTTGATACCCAGCTAGGTCACATCATCAGTGCTAGTGAGTCTGGGATTTGCTCCCTGTTTGTATACAGTCGCTTGCCCTGCCAGTGTTGGTGGGGGAGTTGTTTTCTCCTTGGTGGTTCCTTGATTAAGTTGTTTACTGCTTGATTGTTTGAGTTGATAATTCCTTGATTAGGGTATTATTTACTGCTTGATTGTTTTTTGGTGTTAATCCCTGCCTATCTGGGTGTTGATTGCTGGCGAGGAGGTGTTTTGGTCTGTTTGTTTCCTTTTTATCATTTCTTTTGAATAGTGTGTAGATGTTGTTGATCTCTACGTGTCTGTTGATGGCTGACTTATCTGAATACCAAGCTTCCAGGAATTCCCTCGCATTTCTGAATAAATAAAATAAATTGAAATTAACTTAAAGTTTGAGCATAGCTATACTTCTCTGCCTTGTCCAACTGGGATGTTTCCTGTAATTTCATTGTACCTTTGGAGGTCTTTGGAATAGGTGGATCCATTTCCAAACAAAACTCTGTAGGCTGCCTCCTTTTTTCTATTTTTTTAAAAAAACATATGAATGTTTCCATCCAGAGATCTCCCTTGCAGATTGAGAAACCCTGCAGTAATGATATGAAGGCCAATGAAGGCTCCTTGGCCTTCATATAATTAAGAAGGATGCTTACTGGAGGCCAATTTGCAATTTCATTTTTTCCAGAAATGAATAGAGTCTGAACGGGTGGAAGGGAAGGACTAGTAGGAAGCAACTGGAGGCAGATTGAGGTCTGTTGTAATGCATTACCAGCCCTCGCCATGCTGACTGGTATGAAACAATAGGCTGATTCTGCATATGGTAATTTTTGATCACGTGAGGTATTTCTGTTTACGTGATAACCCATGATTATCTGTCATCTTACTCCAGCTAACCGATGCCTCTGCTTTTCTTTCCCATCAGAGCTTTAAAGACCGTTTGTAAATAAGGTTGGCATTTTTGCAAAGGACTCACCTCCAGTAATTTGGGTTTCAGCTCCATGCTTGCCTCCAATGTCTGGGACCAAATTTTACCCTTGGAGGAGGAATCTCAGAAAGGATAGCCAAACTGCCTGAACCACAACAATTCATAATAAAACACACCAGACACTAGGAGCAAATGTGGAACTAGACTTGCTGTAGGCGATGTCTGCTTCCTGTCCAAGGAGATTCCCACGACTTTCATGGCGGCTTTTCCTTACAGTTCCAAAAACTCCTATGTTTGCAGGCTGGTCCTTTTTGAAGGGACTTATAACAGTGCAAGATTGTAGATAGAACAGATAAACTAGAGGGTGTCAAAACTTGAGGAAGGTGTAGCTCAGCAAATCTTGGATGGACACTGGTTTATCCTTCCCCTTGGGATGAGTATATTGGAAGTCTAAAATCAGACATTTCTCTCTTCATGGGTGGCACGTCTCAGGCTGTATTCACACAGCAGCCTAACTAGGTCTGTTATAAATGCTGCTGCTGAATTTACACAGCATGTTAACTGAGTTAATTTTAAAGATGATTAGAGACTGGACTTCTTTGTTTCTTTTGTCTTCACCTGATGTAGAACCCAAGCTATTTGGTTAAGGTATGGGCCAATCTTGCTGCCTGTTATCTGGTTTGCAAAAGTTTGGGCAGGTGTTTAGGCGAGACTGGATTTGCCTGGGTGTGGTAACAAAGGAACAAGTGGAAACACACACACACCCAACAATACTACAAGGTTTCTCAATCTGCAAGGGAGATTTCTGGATGGAAGCGGTGACCGTAGAATTAGCTGGGTCTTTATGTAATTACTCCAAGGAAATTGTAGGAAGGAGTTTAAGAAAAGAGGTTCTCCCACATTTGTGCAATTCCCAGAGCTAGAAGGAGGTGATACACAAATACCATGCTTGGAGAGATTGGCTGTGATTTTATACGCCACAAGTGTATAAAAGCTGTTCTGGGGAAGCAAAATATAGATGCTTGGCCCGGCACCTTAGATGACCCAGCAGCTAAGCAGATGTTTCTGGGAAGTTCACCGGCAGAAATTTAAAGCCATCACCCTCCCCTTAATATGATTTCCCCTGCCCCTGATCAAGGGTAGACTACCCACTTTAAATGGGGCTTCGACCTCCTATTTTTGTTAATGGCCTCTTTCAGCTTGCCTTATTTTCTATTCACTTTTACATCTTTTTTTTCCAAACCAAGTAACACAATTGTTACTGTGACACTGTGTTCCTTGCAGAACAGTCTAAAAATTAGGTTCTTCTCTGAAAGCTCCAACCGTGGGCTGTGTTCTGTTGTTATTTTTAACTAGATCCATTCAAGGCCTGGCACCAGCATTTACACAAGGTGATCTGTAGGCTAAGTCTTAAACTTGATTACTTCTGGCATGTGTTTCTCTGTGTGGCTTCAGGGTTGCACAAACCCAGCTTCTTTACCTGGCTTATGATTCAATTATTTGTGTATAATTTGTATAATGAAAGTGGATTCATTCCTTAGTCCAGATAAGTGTGTTGCGAATGTGCTGATGTTTTGAAGGAGAGTCAAACATTTCTCTCTCTCTTTTTAAATCTTTCCTATTGTATGCAATGGGAAAGATTTAAAAA